CTAATTATTGATGCCCCTACATTAGGGTCAGCATGTTCTGTCAATGCTGCCCTAGGCAACAGCAACCATACGGTTGCAACTATGGCCGTTGATTGCCACATCCCTATGGTAGGCGTACTATCTACGTGGACCCGGCTGGAAAACCAATATCTTGTGGCTGCTAGTGCTCGGCTGTGTAAGTACCAACCTGAAGTGGAGCTCAAAGCCATAGCCCCAGCCTGAACCCCAATCATCATTCCTATAGTTCCAACTCTTATAAACCCTAAACCCCTAAACCCGAGTAACCTAAACCCTAAACCCTAAACCCTAACCAGAGTTCTGCAACTCCTAAACCCGAATAACCTAAACCCTAAACCCTAAACCGAAACTCTTACAAGGACCATTCTTATAAACCCTAAACCCACTAAACCGGAATAACCTAAACCCTAAGCCCCAAACCCCAAACCCGTGAGACTCTTATAAGGACCATAACGAGTTCACACTCTTATAAACCTAAACCCTAAAACCGAATAACCTAAACCCAGAAATCCTAAACCCTAAGCAGTGAAACTGAAATATAAGGACCATACCCTAAACCCTAAACCCAAAGCAGTGAGACTCTTATAAGGACCCTTAAGGAGCTCATAAACCCTAAACCCTAAGCCCCTAAACCCTAAACCCTGAACCCTAAACCCTAAACCCTATACCCTAAACCCTAAACCCTAAACCCTGAACCCTGAACCCTAAACCAAAACCTTAAACCCGAAAGACCAGAGCCGGACCCCCGAGCCCTACTCAGGTCTTTCTGGTTCAGGGCCTGCGTGCTGTGAAGAAGGCGCTTAGGGTTTCTTAGGGTTTTATAGGGCTTATAGGGTTTTATCATAGGGTTTATAGGGTTTATATGGCTTACAGGGCTTATAGGGTTTATATGGTTTAGGGTTCAGGGTTGGGGGTTCATCGCGGGGGTTTCTGGGTCTTGTCAGTTTCTGTTCGTGCTACAGGACTCTGCTGCTTGTGGATGTATACATGGGCACCTTTTGTTGATTGCCAAAGGTGTGCGCGAAATAATGCAGTTCATGGGAGGGTTTGGGGCCGCTTTGGGCTCGGGCTCGAGGTTCAGGTCGCTCGTGCTTCAATCATACCCTGCTCGTAGTAGCCACAACTTCTCTAAAAGCACAAGCTTGTCGGCATCATCACTAACATCGCTGAGCCATGATGAACTTCAACGTCAATAGGATGCTTGGGCTTGGAATTCAGCGCCCACCGACGCCACCGTCGCCATCATCATCAACCACCTCGTCGTCATAGTGGTTCAGCGGTGTATCGTGTTGCCTTTGTTTCACGGCCGGTGGGTTTGTTGCCCCGATTTCAGGTGGAGGGTTTGGAGCTTCGATCTCGGGATGTAGGTTTCAGGAGTTGGGGGTGAACTACTTTTAGGGCTTGGGAGCAGGGGTTCAGGGTTAAGACGATTAAGAGCTGAGCGTGAGGATTCGGGAACTAAGATTTAGGATTCGGCAATCTATAGGAGCGTTGTGGTTAAGGTGCATAGAGTTGTGTTGCTCTGCGCTGCAAAACCCCCACTTGAACACTCGAAACCTAAACCCCTTGCGTTGGAAGGTCTCTTCCCGGATTTTCCTCCACTTTGCCCCCTGCCTGGCTCAGTTTACCAACGAGGCGCGGTCTTGCCGCTCAGTGTGAGGGTTATGGGGCTGATACTTAGCTACTGTAATATAATAATGCTATGTTGGGGTTCCTACTACTAAAAATTATCGTGTACCATAACCCAGGACCCAAGACCCTATTCTAATTATCAAGGACCTTACATTAGAAAAGGTGCTTGCCTCCTTCGGATTTGGCCTTCAGCTCAGGGCTTCGGCAAGAAGCCCTCAAGCTCGAACACCTCTCAGCTTTCTGAGGCACCTTGCTTGGCCTTCCTTCACCTGGAGCCCCGAAGCCACAGAGGAGTAAGGAGGTCGCAATACATAGTACTAGTAGCCCCTTTTAGTCCCCATGACGCTTCAGGCCCCTATATGACTCTACAAAAAGCAACCACTCACAACAAGCTGATGGGAACCATGTTCTAGTCCATGTAAGCTCAGGAGCCTGGAAAACACACATACCGCAAACCGTCTTCAGGGCTTCCCAATCCTCAACCCTTAGGACCGTGAGCCCTAATTCGGCACCCGAAAATGGCTTTAAACCCAAAATGCCCAAAATTTGCCTTAAACCAGAAAGACCCAAAAATGGCATTTAACCCAAAATACAGGAAACTCAGCCTTAGGCCCCGGACCCCAAACCCGAAACCCCTAAACCCTAAACTCCTAAACCCCTAAACCCTAAACTCCTAAACCCCTAAACCCCTAAACCCCTAAACCCTAAGCCCCCAAACCCCTAAAACCCTAAACCCCTAAAACCCTAAACCCCTAAACCCCAGGGACCCACTTCTTCGGGCCAAGTCTCACTAGGAAGACAAGAGCTTCATCTCGAACGCGCTGGAAGAAGTGATCGATGCACAAGTCTACAGGCCCAGAAAAGGTTTAAGGGTTTAGGGTTTTGGTTTAGGGGTTTGGGGTTTAGGGTTTAGGGTTTAGGGGTTCAGGGTTTAGGGGTTGAGGGGTTTAGGGTGTTGACATGGTTCCTTTGGGGTTTAGGCTTCAAGGCTTAGGGCTGAGCGAGGGGTTGAAGGTTTGCGTGGATTTGACATGTTTTGTGTTTAAGGGTTTGGGGGTGTTGGTGTTTTGGGCTCTCTCGGGGTCTACAACAGAGCCCAATACCCAGATTTCCTACAAATAACAAGCTCCTACTTGAAGCTATCCCCTTGAATCATGTAACGATTAAAGACAAAAGGCGAGAGAGAGATTGAGAGCGGCGCGCTTGTCCCTAAACCCTAAACCCTAAACCCTAAACCCTACAAATCGCTCGTGACCCAAGCCCCTTAATACAAGGCCCTTCAAATCCCCCAAACCCCAGCCGAGCCTTTCCCAGGCCTAAGCCCTCAGACCATAAAGCGGTTTAGGGTGTAGGGTTTAGGGTTTAGGGTTTAGGGTTTCCACCCCCAAAACCCCAAGCCCGAAACCGGAAGATCCTGAACGGGTGGAGGGGTTTTTGGGGTAGTTTAGGGCCCTTCAGCTCTGAGAGCCCGAAAATCCTGAGCCGGCGGTGTGGGGCCTCTGCTCGAGAGAAGAAGCTGCAAGCTATCTTTGCACCTAAAAATGCGTGAATTCGAGTCAGTCCCTTCTGCACAGGGCTTTTCAGGGGGTTGTCGGCTTCTCGGTTTCAGGGCTTTTCTAAACCGTAAACCCTAAACCCCTAGGCCCTAAACCCTAAACCCTAAACCCCATAAACCCTAAACCCGGGGTCCCCGGCATGAAGGTGCTGTTGCAAAAAGGGCTCTTTGTCAATAGGCTTCTACACACTTCACGGATGGCTGCGGCTTGCCACCGAGTAGGGCAGACATCAGCAAACACCTGAGTTTGCACTTAGGAATAATAATAGCAATAATAATAGCAATAATAATAATAATATTAAAAATGAATATTCATAATGATAACAATATTTATGGCAGTTTAAATACTGTATGTGATGAGATTGTTGGGGGCCCGGGCCTGCACCGCGAAGCTGCAACCGCGCAGCTTCGGCTCTCCAGGCACCAGGGCCCTGATATTTGGAGTTCCCGAGGTCCCAAACAAGATGCCAAAGTGTCAGAGCATCCCCCAATGCCGGGAGCCACCGCAACAAATCCCCAATCCTTGTCTGAGCGAGAGAGAGAGAGAGAGAGAGAGAGAGAGAGAGAGATAAAGAGAGAGAGCAGAACGCACCGGGGATTTAGGGTTTAAGGTTAGGGTTTAATTCGCTTAAACCACAGTAGTCCCTTGTGGCCCCTACAACTGCATATTCTCCATGAGGACCAGCAACCTCCTCCGACTGAAATGCCCCCGAGCACCGTCCTACTATAAAAACCAAACCCCCGGATTTGAGTTTTAATATGCGGGGGTTAACATTCGGGGGAAGAGATTACTCTATTTTGCCCTCGTGGTCGCAACGCTGAGCTGCATGAGAACAGCTAGCACCTTAGCCCCTGCAGACCAGAGTGCAAACAGTCGTCCAAATCCCTAGACCCTAAACTCTACGTATGAGCCCCGTAAAGCTTGTCAGGATCATGATGACACTAGCAACACGACTGAAAGTCGCAGTCATAAGAACCTGAAAGTTGGGAAGATGACCTAGAAACCTAGACCCTAAACCCTAAACCCTAAACCCCTAAACCCCTAAACCCCTAAACCCTAAACCCTAAACCCTAAACCCCTAAACCCTAAACCCTAAACCCTAAACCCCTCCCTGTCAGGCTACGGGCCGCAGGGGAAGTGCACCGGCTGCAGATGTTGGCCCCCGGGCTTGCATCCAGGAGGTTTAGGGAGAGGTTTAGGGTTTAGGGTTCACTGTAGGGGGTTTAGGGTTTAGGGTTTAGGGGGTTTAGGGGCCTATGGGGTGTAGGACGTAAGGTTCAGCATCGAAGGAGTTTTAAGTCGGGATTGCGGGAAGTTGATTAGATCATCCGGTATGGTTTCAGGCCGTTTCGGGACCTGGGACTTGACCTGCACCCTGAACCTTTTAAACCGTAGGGGTTGAGAGTGAACCGGTCTGGGGGGTGCAGCCCTATAGCAGCCCGAAACTGAAACGGTCTCGCGTTCCAGGGGCGGAGTGGCTGACAAACCCACAGCATGTTGTTCTTGACCTGTGAGCTCATGACATCTTTCGAGGTTCGTCGTATAGACTCTTGAGACCTGGTGCGGATTGCAAGTATAGTAGGGAACCCTAAGGAATGGTGTTCCAAGCTATTCGTTCCCTTCAGTTTGTGTTCACCGTCTGCGGCTTGGGGTTTAGGGCTAAGGAAGCCGACCATGAATCAAGGATATCCGGACACCCAGCTATTTCGCAGCAGGTATGCAGATCAAACTTGTCGAGCGAAGCCTGGTAGATAATGAACCCACCCGCTCAAGATCCTCAGCTTCGCAGCAGGAGGGTTTGGGACCTTAGTGCTTCAGGATTACCACAAGGGTGACTGATAAGCGGAGGCATTGGTCAACCCTCAAGCTAAGAGCCCCAATGCCAGGAGGGTTCAGGTTTTTGGGCGGGCCGAAATCCTCTGCGTCCAGGAATGTGTGCGGGCGCTGCTGACACGCCGGGCGCCTGACCTGACGTTGTTCAAGAGGCGGGCAATGGGCTTCAGGGATTTGAGTTTCGGTGCTGGTGCTTTGGGGCCTAGGTCCTCCAGGGTGTTTTGAGCAGAATTCTAAAATTCCGTGAACATGGGCTAGCAACAATACACCTCAACCAAGTCCGAGGTCCCACAACTCCAAGGGAATCGTAGTAATATCCCCTTTTAGTCCTCATCGACCCCAAACCTTATTCTAGTGATTACAGCCCATACCCTCAAACCCCAACCCCCATGGAACCTTAATAGATCCCTCAAGGAGCGCCCTCTTCAAAATGTAAAGGTCCCGATATGAGGGTTTCCGAAAATAGGGGGCCCTAATATAGTACCCTAAATAATAGGATCCTTATCATAAGGACCCCAAAATAAGGTACCCTAATTTTTGGAAACTCCCATATGAGGGGGCTTCTGGCCCAAAGATCTGGCTCAGAGATCTTCGAAAGAATCATTACCCAAAAGGGGCTTAGGCTGTAGGGCTCTGAGTTCCTATCCATAAACAACTCTAATCCCCAAAAAAACTAAACCTTGCGCCGTATACCTCTGAACCTACAACCACGAAGCAATGCACAACCCTAAACCCCAAACCCCTACCCTAAACCCTCTAAACCCCTAAACCCTAAAGCATCCTAATCCCTCACCCTAAACCCTAAACCCCTAAACCCTAAACCCTCTAAACCCCTAAACCCCAAAGCATCCTAATCCCTCACCCTAAACCCCTGAACCCTAAACCCCTAAACCCTAAACCCTAAACCCCTAAAGCCTAAACCCTCTAAACCCTCTAAACCCCTAAACCCTCTAAACCCCTAAACCCTCCACCATCCCAAGCCCTCAACGCCAAACCAAACCCTGAGAGGCTAAGTCGGACGGGCAGCTTGGCCTACATGGCCAAGGCCGCCAAGAGCGTGCAATATACAGGCGCGGTTTAGGGTTTAGGGTTTAGGGTTTAGGGTTTAGGGTTGGAGGGTCGAGGGAGTGTTTGTAGGGTTTGAGGTTCAAGGTTTAGGCTGTGCGGTTTCGGAGGGGGGACCGGGGGTTATTGTCTAGGCTGTAGGGTTTGGGGTTTCCGCGTGGATGTTCCCAAAACCCCTAGAAAAAATCTAGGTTTCTGACAGAGTTTAGATGATTCAGACTATGATAGAGAGAGAGAGAGAGCGAGCGATCCTTTTTTGTCTGACAATCCCGAAGCCCTAATCTATGTTAGGCTGGACTCAACTGCACTACGCCACTGCGCGGAGTGACCGCGATGCTGTCGCACGACTCCTTGCCATCTGCTTCCTCGGCTGCAAAACGATACCTTCCTGTGGCTACCCTTGCCCACCGCTTTAAGGGTTATGCATTCTTACTGATACTAAGCTGTGCAAGTTTTGGACACATAGGCCAAGCCCAGGCGGATTACAGGCATTGGGTTTAGGAAATTATGGGACCTTGCGGATGAGGTTCAACTGCATTGCATGTTGCCGAAGGACATTCAGGGTTAATTATTTTCAACGACCAAGGGGCACCTTGCAGGTTTTGGGTTCTCGGGTTTAGACAGCTGCCCTCTTTTTTGTTGAGTTGGAGATAGTGTGCTTCCGAGAACAAGCATCCTACCCCGCAGCTTCATGGCCCCTCGACATGTTATGCTTTCGTATAGTAGTGCATGGTATTTCTGTTATGGTACAATGAGTATAATTTAGACTCGAAGTTCAGTGCCGGCCAATGAGATGCAAAGGGATGTCGTACCCGCGTCAGGTGCATGGAAACTCGAAGCCCAAATCCCCGAAAGCCCAAATCCTGCAACCCAGGTCCTTCCCCCCGCTCCCCATGTATTTGTAGACCTCGCAACATAGCCCTGATAGTAACCCTTACTGTAAATCTTCTACTAACCCTGATAAGAGGCCCCTTTCTTCGTAACCCCAGGCGAAAGGGCCGACGCGCAGACGGCCCAAGCAGACATGGACCTCTTCCTAGGACCTAAGCTCCTCGGAAAGTTTCTGTGGCTTTCCTGAAGACATCCTTCGCCTTCCCCATTCTGTCGAAAGGGTTCTATAGTCTGGAGTAAAGGTTTCGAGTTTCGAGGAGTTCACGGCTACACTGAATTTGTAAGGACTCAAGTGCTAAAGCTAAGAAGCCCAAGACCATGCTCTGCACGGCGTTCTCGCCAAATATCCGAGGCCCAGTCTAGCAGTTCGGGTCTCGGGGTAGGCTCTGCCGAGGGCCGATACTGGCTTCAGAGGGCCTTAAAAAGGGCTGGAGATCGGGTTCTCATGTGTGTGGTTGTGGCTTCTGGAGTGGAAATAAATAAGCCAAAATGATTAGGAGCATTAATTAGTTATTCCTTTTACTACTACTGCGCCATACTAAATCTTATTCAATTCATTATGGGCCCTTAGAAAACACCCGAACCTCGACACCGAGGCCAAAGCTCGGAAAATTCAACTCGAAAGCCAGATGCTAGGCTCGAATCCAGCGTCCTTAATGCACAATCACCGTCGTGACTGTAGGGTTCAGGATTCAGGAAATTCTCATCGGAGACCACAAGAATCAGAGCACCAGGAGTATTGCTAGTACTGGTGAAGAACAGAACAGGCACGCACGGAAGAGTTATCATGGCGATCACACTAAATCCAAAGCCCCAAGCCCAAAGCCCTTTACCCCAAATTCTACACGCACCATGAACGTATAGCGCTTAATTCGCGGAGTCATCGCAGAGCCCCTAGGCTGCAGCCTCTTCACATGTGGGCGGCGTTTTCCTTCAACGAGGATATTGCCTCGCTGCCGCTGGGCTTAAAACATAGAGTGAATCTGGTGGTCCGAGCCTTGGAGCGTTTTGGTTTGGGGCTTACTGCGCGAGGGTTTATGGAATTGTTGTAAAGGATTTAGAAGTTATGGATATGAGGGTCGCGCGCATGATGTCGAAGACGCATCTGGGGAAGAATTAAATGAGATAGAGGACTGAGAAGTGTCTTGGCTGGTGCAAGCCCAAGCTTTTGACCCGGAGTATCATGCTGCTTGACCACTCTACGTCTAGTCAGCGGAGAATCCCGGCCACAATCTTGACCCGCAACTGTTGGACTCTTGGTCTTTTGGCGCCGGAACTCTGATCGCTCAACAGTTGCAGATGTAGGCAAGGGGTTAGGGATGGTTAGGGTGAGAGACACAGGAGTCGTAACCTGCACAATGCGGAGCTTCAATCCGCGTGACCCCCCAAAAAGCCCCAAAACCAATCGAAGTGTCACTCGACGGATTCATTCAGACAATCACCACAAAGCAGATCCGCACCTAAAAACCCGAAGACATGAAGGAAGCATGGAAGCCCCCCGTGTTTCCCTCTGCTAGAGTGGCCCCTGTTGCCAAGCCGACAAAAGGGTAGAAGACAATGGAGCCCCAAACCCCCCAAGCCAATGAAGCAACCCCTCTGCAATGTAATTTAGGGGCCTAAATAAGTACCAATACTATTTTGGGGGGTTCCTTATTATAATTGTAGTATAATGGGCCCCAGAACCCTATTCTAACTATTAAGGTCCCCATCTTAATTACGATAGATAGCCCAGATCCTTGCGCCCACTGGTATTCCCAGCCGCAGGTTGTTGCAGGCCTCGGTCATGGCGCCTTGTTCGCGTTGAGCGGTTTCAGGGGCTTAGGGCTCATGGCTCAGAGCCCCGGTTTAGGATTTAGGGTTTAGGGTTTAGGGTTTAGGGTCCTATTGGCTCCGAACCCCTGCGCCAAGTCCTAAGTTCGAATATGCGAGCCTCGCACAAATCCCTTAAAGTCCGAACTTTACTGCTTCTTAGTGTCTGAAGGCGGCGGGGTGACTTGATGCATGAAGCTGCGTGCAGGCTGTCGAGGGTGGCCTAATGCACATGAAGCTTTAGAGGATGGATAAAACAAAACTATAGTACACACCATTCATGATACATAAGAATATGTTCAACCAGGTCTGAGGGAATTCTCGGATCAGTGGACTTAGTCCGCAGGTGTTCATGCTTTGTCACCCAAGCCCAAACACTGAGTACCTGTAGCCCTGTTCAACCTACGAATGCTATCAGCTGCTAAACTACTCAGCTACACTTCAACAACATAAGATAACTTGACCAGTTAAGCTAACTTGGTTTATAAAGATAGCCGGATTAATAAGATAGCTTGACCAAGCAGGGTAACTTGATTATTCTAAGCCGGTCTCGAGGGCCAGGGCAGACTCGAAGTGTTAAACCCACCGCCTTAGCGGTGAATCACGGCAATAGCTTCGCCGGCACTGAAGGCCTTAGCCCTACCTGGGGGATCCCCAAAACCTCCTGTTTTAGGGGCTATACCTTAAAATCAAGGGCTCATGACCTACTATTTTGTAGAGTTTAGGGGATACAGGTAAAGGCTAAAGCGACTTGCCGAAGAGTTTTCAGCACTAATCTTTCAGATTCTTCAGGGCTTAAGCCTAACCTTATATGCCCGCCCGACAGTGCTGTTTAGGGTAATGGTTTACAGTAAGTGCCGCTTGCACCCTAAGCCCTGAACCTATCACGGGAAAGACTGCTTGGAGCCTGGAATTGGAGTAAGCCGATGTCTCAATTCGACCCTTAATTCGATCCGACGCCCGGAACACATCATTCCTCAACTCAAACCCTATGGGGTTTAGGGCCTAGGGACCCTGTTCTAGGCTCTAAACCCTAACAGAGCCCTGTGGCCCATACCCCAAGCCTGTAGCTCCAGGTCGACTGTCGCGGCTCTGGCGGCCTCACGCCCCTAATGCTCAGCTGCAGGCGACAAGAAATCTTGGGGCGATCGGGTTGAGGATCTAGGGTTCCTTACCCAGAGGCTCCGTTGTGGTTCCTTTTTGGGATTACCTTGTAGGAGCCTAAATTCTAAATATAAACCACAAAAAGGAACTACAATAGAGCCTATGGGTAACTCCACGGAGTTTAACCTTTGGTTTTCGGGGCTCTGGGTTTAGGCTGTAACTTAGCGGAGCCCGCAACGTGCGACGCAATGGAATTGGAACTGGATCCGAATTCCACAAACTCGCAGAACCCAAGCTCGGAGTCTCGAAACCTGCAAAAACAACAATAACCATAGGGGGGTAGTCACGGTTCAGAGTTTCGGGTTATGTTCAAGGGCTTCGCTGGCGTAAGCACCACCACCGCCGCCGATAAAAGGTGGCAACAGCAGTGGGCATGGAGAGAATTGAATAGTATCTCATAGCATGAAACTAGCAGCGTCAAAATTCGTACTCGGGCACGGTGATGAAGCTTTCGTCGTTGTTGATGGTACTCTTCCAGATGCTGTACATAGCCACAGGAGGCATACGTACTGGTAACCAGACGCAAAATCCTAGTAGTGATACCTTGAATCATAGCCATGAGTGCATGACAGAACCTTTGCAAAAGAAACAATCTATATATATATATATATATCGAGGATGGCAGGCCTCAGCGCGCTAAAGCATCCAATGCCGTTATTCCGAATTGAGGTGGGTTTGCAGGGTTTGACGGCGTAGACGATTGGGTGTCTCGGTTTACGGAGTTTATGGGCTTATCGTTTCAGAATGTTGTCTGTGTAAAGCTCGAAGGGACCGACAGGAAGAGTATATTCTGACAGGTTTGGCAACACCATCGCCTGCAAGACCTTGCTGGACATGCCCTCCGTCGAAAGCAGCAGAAGACGTTAAAGTTGGGCATACAGAGGATTCGAACCACAGCTCTGCTGTTTCTCGTGTGTCTGTTTTTTGCAGCGGTGGGTTTTGGAGTCCTGGCTACTGTAGGGCAAAGCGTAGGGATTTGGATTTGTCATATGAGCGTTTCGCAGCTCTGCTAAACCCTTACCCTGCGCCCCGGATCGTCACAATTCCAACACATGGTGCCCACTTCGAACTCCCTCTCAACCCACAAAGCCTCTAACTACGCCCTAAACCCGTAACCCGAAAGCTTAGCTGCACGACACTTCGCCGAAGTTGGTTACGAGTGCAAAGGAAGAATCGAAGACAAGACGCCCGGAAGTCCGGGACCCTTTTTTGTTTATAGTCATATAGTACCACATAGAGGCCGCCACCGCAAAATGTCCCGCAAAATCCCGGATACCCCCAAGCTCAGAGCATCTCAGAGCAATCTAAGGATGGCGGATGCGAACGCACAGGATCAGATGGGCTGCAGGCACCTTGGCACAAAGGAGGTCTTTGCATCTGAAGGTCCTCATGGGAGTACCGCAGGTCTTGAAAGGCTGGGTTTCGGCTATAGGCTTGTTTTTCAGGCTTTCTCGACTGGGTTTTAGGATGTCTTTCTTAGGGTTGTACTGACGAAGCCCGATTGTAAGCTGCAGGATGGGACAGTCCCTGAGGTGCAGATTTTTGATGGTCTCGCATGCATAATCAGGGACTTCGTAGTCTTTTGCCAAGTTTCATTCACTGACGTCAGTCAGTAGCGTGACACGAGGGAGATGGAGGTGCTACAATGGGACCGTGTAGGATAGGGTTCTGGGCAAGATCAACTCTTGGCGCATGATGTAGAAGTCCTACTGGGCATCCATGTAAAGCTCTGCATTTTGAGCTTAGCTGACCTAAACCCTAAACCCTAAACCCTAATGTGTGCTACCATGAACTCCCTCTCTTCCTGAAATTTCTCAGCCCGGAGCTCTCAGCAATACCCGAAGTGCTCAAGCTTCAGGCCTTTGGTCTTCGCCTTGGCGAACGATGCGGAAGATTTGGTCGCACCTCTCCTGGATGCCACATGGCTGCTGTTCCATGTCGTTGCGGGCAGTTGCGGGTGGAGTCGAGATAAATTTGTCGTGGGGTGTGAAGCTGAAGACACTTTGTGATTGAGGACGAAACTCCTGCTGGCATCGATTGATGTTGTGTTTCCTCTCCAGTTGATAGCCGGGGAGCTCGTAGCAAGACATGACAGACGCTGCGCCCTCAACCCTAAATCCTAAACCCTAAATCCCAGACCCGAGCCCCAACCCCTAGAACCTAAATTCCAGGCCCGAACCCCAGACCCTGGAGCCCCCTTTTAAAAACACACCCTAAACCGTTGAGCGCTCAGCCCTGTAATGAAGGGGCCTAAACAATTACCTATACTATTTTGGGGCTCCTTCTTGTAATGATAGTATAAATGGGGCCCACAACCCTATTCTAATTATTAACGCCCCTACTATGGAACCCTATTCTAGACCCCTTATAGAGCCCTTGAAGGATCCCGTTAACAAGGAACCCTACACCCTAAGCCCTAATCCCTAA